GGCATAAGGAAGAATTTCTTTACTGTCCGAGCCCCCAAGGTCTGGAACAGCCTGCCACCGGAGGTGGTTCAAGCGCCTTCATTGAACACCTTCAGGATGAAACTGGATGCTTATCTTGCTGGGATCCTATGACCCCAGCTGACTTCCTGCCCTTTGGGCGGGGGGCTGGACTCGATGATCTTCCGAGGTCCCTTCCAGCCCTGATGTCTATGAAAGTCTATGAAAGAAGAGTTTGAAGTAATATGAGAAAGGCTATTGTTTTGCTAATCGCGTAATGAAGACTCTTATCAGCTCTAGGCTACCTTGCTCACCTGTCAGTTTGCTGCAGACAGTCTGACAAGTAGGGAGGGAGGTTGAAAAGCTCCATATCATCAACAGATCCATGTACTGCACACACCCCTCCTTGCCTCAGAGTGCTAGCAAGGGTCTGGGGCTTACAACTCTCCCGCTCCTTGAGCAGCCAGTGGGGAAAAGCCTGGGATGGTGCAGACAGACCTCCTTAATGAGAAAGTCCTGCCAGGACTTCAATGCTGTGCAAGGCAAGGGAGGGCTGCTCTAGTGCCCCCCAGCTTCTAGCTGTAACAGGTTGCCCTCCCCAGAGCCATTTTCCGGGTCATCTGCACCTTACTTGGGGCACCCTTGGAGTCCTCTTGGAACTCTGCACTCCCACCCTAAACTCCCCTGCCATGTCTTTATGGAAATTAGTATGCAAGCAGGAGACTGCCAATTATATTGGGTATATTGGGGTCTCTCCTAGGATGGTCTGACCCCTTTTTCTCTAGCTATGCCTCTCCATCCAAACCCACCAAACAGGGTTTGACTCTGAGGCTCTAGCTCTTCCTTCCAGTGCCTGGAGGCTCTTGGCCCCCTTTTCTGCTTCCTTCTGAAGCACAACACTTCCCGGGTCAGAGACATGTGTGCTGGCCCCACAGCCAGGGGGCCACAAGCCCAAAACTCGGGTGTGACCCCACCCGCCTAAAAAACAGAAAAAACATATACCTGCACCCCCACTCCCAGGTGCTCCAGGCCTCCCTGGCCTTTTTAAGATCGTCCCAAAACTGCGCCCTTATTGGCACTCAGGCAGCCCTGTCTCTCTCCATGCCTCACTGGCGCTGGGGCTGTGCCCCCCTGAAAGGCTGCACCCTTACTGATGTCAGGGTCTGTGCCCCCAAAAGCTGTGCCCTCACTGGCGCTGGGGTCTGTGCCCCCAAAAAGCTGCGCCCTCACTGGCGCTGGGGTCTGTGCCCCCAAAAAGCTGCGCCCTCACTGGCGCCGTGGGGGGGTGGGATATCCAGGAAGCACCAGGAGTGGGTCCCCAAAATGAGGCCTCCTCCATCCCCTAACAGCCTCACCCAAACCTCCGATCTTATTCCATAACCAAAAGAAAACAAATAAACAGTCCCGTCCATGGGCAATATCTGCAACCCAAAAATGTGAGTAAGGAAAGCGGTATATCAGCTTACAGTTGCAGGGTTTGTGTTTCAGCTCCCCACCATCAGCTCCAGTCCTTGCTGCAGTGCAGCTGTCATCTCTCCAGGGCTTCTATAGTTCCCTTCTTCCTGGCTTTGGACTTCCCACCAAGCCTCTCCTTGGAGCCCTGAGATGCACTCCTTCCCCCTTGGCTACTGGCCCCCTTACTGCCCTTCAATCCAGGGTTTTTATAGTCCTGCCTCTTCCGGTCAGCTGACCATCCATCCCAGTTCAGCAGTTAACCCCTTCCTCACCAGCCTTCTGTGCCCAGAAGGTTCTGGCCTTATAGGGTTGCACCTTCTTCCTCATGACAGGGTTAGGGTTCCCTGTCACACTAGCCTGAGCCACTCCAGGCATGTTCTTGAATTTCCTCAGTCTAGAGAGAATGTCTGTCCAGTTTCCAACCAGTTCAGCCTAGCCAGGTTAGACTAACCTGCAAAGGTTGAATCAATTCAGATTCAGGCTTTGTGAATGTCTGTCCCTAGGCCTATAGGGTAGGAACTCAACTGTTCTGAAGGCCACAGGACTGGTCATTTTGTAGTAATAATTCCAACTGTTGTTAATGGCTCTCAATCAGTCCATGCATTTTGCAAAAGGCCTTACTGGAACATCCACTAATTTCAGAGCATGAACAGGAGATCTGATGTATTACAAACCACAGAGAAGAGTTTTATGGTCTGGGCTGAGATGTGTGTGCTCACTCTCCCAACATAACATCAGAGAGAAGAGGCTTTGTCTAGGAAGCAGGAGGGATCAGGAATTAAATTCACATAACCAAAACTGTCTCCTGTGGGCTGAATGCAGGGGGTAGAACTGCTATGCAGGCCCTTTTTAGCTTATGGTTTAGAATGGAAACCATAGCTGCTCTATGTCCCCTACAAAAAGATTCCCTATTGATGAATTTATATCAGCATGGATCTTCCCTCTACCAGCCAAGTAAAAGCTAAAGCAGAGATGCCCTATGCTGTATACAGGGCAAGGCTCTGAAGAACTTGCTTGTGATGTTGAAATGATTTGAGGTTTGTCACAACTATTCAAAGCTCAGGTCAGTCTCACACTGCTCTAGACAACTTAGGTGTTCAAAATAAGTGGACAGCAAAGCAATGTGATTATTAGACAAGTCCCCTCTTTCAGAATGAGACATTAAGGCTAAGTACAGATATTCAAAAAGCCCCTGGTAGAAGTGCTTTAGCTAACTAGCATGCTTTTGAAGCTAAGGTATACCCTAGGGTATGCCCTATTCTCAACTGGATGGGATGGGTAGGCAGAAGGGCGTGCTGTGAGAGGGATGCCAGAATTTCGAGCAGATCCCTCTTTCCTATATAGAGTTAGCCCAAGTCCAAAGTTCTTAACTATATACAATTTATTGAGTTATAATATACATAAACATAAAACTAAATATCATATACATATATTTACACAGTGAATGTTAACCAATAACCAAGGTCAAAGCCCTAAATAACACTATTTTCAACATCACAACATTTCAATTACAAAATATAAGGCGCAAACATGAACAATCTTAATAACATCTATTCTTTAATATAGTCCCTGACCCATGGCACGAGATAGTCCTCCTTCCAATGGGGTCCCTTGGGGGGGCAGGATATCCAGGAAGCACCAGGGGCCCCTCCTCTTAGGGCCTTGACTAGGTGCAGGGGGCTGCCCACTGTGCCCCTTCTCTGGGTTCACCCACCCCAAACATCTTTCCCTTGTGGGACCCAAGGGTCCAATGACTCACGCTCTCTCAGGTGGTGATTGTCAGGGTGCAGCTCAATGGGGTTTCCTCTGCTGGAGCTCCTCTCCAGGCCTCTCCTGCACCACTGGGTTCCTCCCCACCCTGTGCCCCACTCTGGGCACTGAGGGCTCAGCTCCTCACAGCTGCTGCACCACCGTTGCTGGCTTCTAGGTGCTGGGCCTCAGGCTGCAGCACTACTATTTCCCCGTGCCCTGGCTTTGGCTCCAAGGGCTCTTTAACACAGGCTCTGGCTGGCCGTCCTCACACCGGGTGGCTAACCCAAGCAGCCTCTGCTGCTCCCTGGCTCCCAAGGCTCAGACCCATGTGCCGCCCTGCGCACCGTGAGACCTGGCTGCTTGCTGGGAGATGGGGTCTGAGCCGCCTCACTGCAGCCCCAAGGCCTTTGCCCCCATGCACTGCCCCACACACTGTGTGGCCTGCTGGCCCTGCCGGGGCTGCAGGCTCGAGCCACCGCTTGCGGCTCCTAAAGCCTGGGCTCCATGCACTGAACTGTGCACCATGATGGGCCCAAGCAGTCTCATACTGCTCCCAGGGCCAGGTCTCCCCACACTGTCCCTGCACACCATCAACATCCTGAGCAGTCTCGCACTGCTCCCAAGGCTGCTTCTCCAGTGGCAGCTTCAGGATCCTTGGACCTATTGCCCGCTGGCAGAGAGCTCCCCAGCTTTTCTTGGCTCCACACTTCAGTCCCTCACTGCACCTGCCCCTCATGCTGGGCATGCAGCTCCTTTTATACGCTCCAGGGCTCCGCCCCTGAAGTCTTCCAGACCTGACAGTTTACAGTCTTCAATCAGGTGCAGGGGAGCTCTTCTCTCCCTCCCCTCAGGAAAGGGGCATGACTTTATTTCTCTTGCTGCCTCCTGATTGGTCGATGGGCTCCACCAATCAAAACAGCAGGATCTCAAGCCTGGGACTCAACCCAAGCTCTGAAAGGTGATCCTGCTACACTTTACCTAAGTGCTATAAGTTAGAGCACAAGAGAACCAAACAGATTTTCACTGTTGGTAGTGTGGGGCAGGGCAGATGGGTGGGCTTGGAGATTGCCCACACTGGCCACTAAGGGCACTCCTATGCACCTTTAAGGAGACTTCAGAAGTAGCCCCTCTCCCCAACCCAGCCCCCTCTGCAGGCTGGCAACCATCAGCAGCAGCTGTGGGGAGAGGGAAGAGACTCTGGACCCCTTCCCCAACTGTCCCTCCTAGCCAGGCAGCCACTCTTCACAGGGAAGGGGTTTGTGTGGGAGAGAGACATTGGACCTCTCCCCCGCAACAACCCCTGGCTGGTCCCCTGGGCAGCCCTCCCCACCAGGGGACCAGCCAGGGGACCAGCCAGGCAGTGGCATGCTGCAGGGCCAGGACTGCTACAGGGAAAAAGAGCTTAGATCCCTTTCCCTACAGCACCCCCCTCCTGGCCAGGCAGCAATACACCACCGGGAGAGAAACTTCTTTCCCTGCAGCCAGCTGCAGTTCACAGTTGGTCAGAGGGAGGAGGCAGAACTAGGATCAGAAGCTGTCACTGACTCAGGTCAGTGAGAGCCAAGGGAGTAGGGTCAGCCTGGCACTTGGGCAGAGAAAATAATCTGTACTCAAGGCTAGAGCACAGCCCCACACAACACCAGCTGGGATGGTGTAATCACACTCCAAGTTACCTCTTGTTGGGATCTGGCACAGACATTCAATAAAGTACTCTAACAGAAAGTGCTTTAGTCTAATACCTCATCCATCAAAGCTTAACTTACAGCATGATCTGCCATTTTTAAAGTGCTCTAAAAGTAATTAACATCTATTGAATTATGACTTTAGAGCACATTCTTTGTGCTTAAAACGTGATAGGTAGATTGGAAATTTAGGCTAGGTACAAACATTATACCTTTCTGTCTGTCAATGCATTTGTATCACATACCTATTTTTCTCTGGTTTATTTTTTATTTTTGTTTTTTTATGACTGATCATATGCTATGCCTACTATTTACTAACCAGCAGCATGTACTTTTTTGTTGTTAAGGGGCAAGATGCAAGAACCTAATATTAAATGCTTACAACCAAAGGAAAATACCTTCCTATTTTTTTTTTAATTTTTCACAGAAGACCTACTAAAGAGATCACTGGTTGTGTGGCAGGGCACTGGTGGTGCCTGCCACTTTAAGGGCTGGAGCAGGCAGCAGTCAGGTGCTTGATTCTGGTGGCCATTTTGAGGCCACGCTATATAGGGTGAAGCAGCAGTTTGCTGCTGGCCCTGCCGGGAAAGATATCAGTCAGTTGAGCTGAGGCTCAGGAACATCTTGGAATTATAACCTGGGGCTATGGGGATGGAGGAGGCCCCAGGTTCTGGGCATGACCTAAAACTTCACCCTGCCAGGGTAGAGAGGCCTAGTGGGACTGTTGGTGGTGTGGCAGCCCCAGGAAATGCCAAGGCCACGAAAGTCCCTGGTGAAAGGAGGGTAGGGGGCACCTAATAACCTCCAGACCCTGCTGGAGAAAGCCCAGACTGGTGAGATCCTGGAAAGGCCTGAGGCTCATTTGATCTGATGGACTTGTGAGGGTTAAAAGAAGGCAAGCAGCTTAGACTGGGCCTGAGGGATCTCAACTGGTCCATGCTGGGGCCAGAATCCAGAGGAGGGTCAAAGGGCAAGGGGCCCACTGCAAGGGATGCCCAGAGAGCAAAAGGCTCAGGATCCCAACTGGCCTGAGACAGGGCCAAGGCCTAAGGGGGAACCAAAGGTCTCAGAGAGAGGACCACAGCTAATGTGGTGAAGTGTATGGCTGAGTTTAGTTGCCTGGGATGCCATCTGCAAGGCTTGGGCCACAGTTTAGGGGTGGAACGGAGCTGTGGATATTCCCCTTATCATTGGGATTAAAAATGGGCAGCCTCCTGCCTGATTAACATCTTAATAATATTACATCAAGGTGTGGCAGGAGAGTGAGGGGGATGGCTGGCCCATAGACAAGAAGCAGTCCAGTGCTTGCACTGGGCATGAAAGTTTGCCCCTGTCACAGGTTGATTCACTGTTGATTGCTTCATGCAGGGGTGCTCAACCCCTGCAGTGGTGCTCAATCCCCATCCAGGCTAGATCCACCTGTGGGGCTCCTCAGGGGCCCAGAAATTTGGCAGCAAGGGAGTAGTGAGAATTAATGCTGCCACCACTTCCCTGCCACCAAACTTCCAAGCCTCACATGGCTGGATCAGCCCCGGCCCCATGCAGCAGAACCAGGCCCTGGCCAAGGCATAGCATTGGGCCCTGGCTGGGCCAGCACCATGTGCTGGATGGGGCCCACAAACCAATCTGGGACTACTCATCCAGCCTGTGGGCCAAAAGGTTGGGCAACACTGGCTTAATGCTTTAAAAAAAAAATCAAGCAAGAGTTTGCATGTAATACCTGACAGCTTAAC